TTAAAAGATGTTCTTGGAAACTTATTCCTTCAAAGAACAATCATTTATTTTTCGTTAGATACAAAGATTGTATTTTTCATTCTCTCTTTTTTGCGTACCTGTAAAAGATTATATTTCCCTGTAAGAGAATGTTTTGGCACTCTGCCCCAAATAATTTTATAAATTTAAAAGATGTTCTTAGAAACTTATTCTTTCAAAGAACAATCATTTATTTTTCGTTAGATACAAAGATTGTATTTTTCATTCTCTCTTTTTTGCGGGTACTGGGGCCAGAACCCAAGATGTTCCCACTGAGCTATATCCTCAGTATCCCCTTTGTTTTGAGACAGGGTCTAGCTAAGTTGTTAAGATGTCCGGGCTGGGCTTGAACCTGTGACCCTCCTGCCTCAGCCACCCAGAGTGCTGGCGAATCCACAACAGTCTTAGACCACATGCAGAAAGAACTGTCTGTACTGGATCAACAGTTCTAGAGACCACCTCCCACCACTCATGCCTGACTGTCTATATTGGAATTACAGGTGTACGTTACCACACCCAGCTAAGACTGCATTTTTCTAAGCATGATTATTAAAATTTCCAAAAGAAAATGAGTAAGATGATGTCAAGTAAACATTATGATGTTTCTAAAATAAGATGCTTTAGATATTTTCCTATTTCAGAAATTAATTTTGATCAAATTCCATATCATACATACATAGTGCTTCTAGATATCACATATCACTTTCATTGTTCAGAGTTAACATTCACCTCTGGGGTTGTTTTATTTTGTAATATTTGACCTGAATTATATTTCCATTTAACAACCCAGTGAAAAATTATAAATTTACCTTGGTCATCTTTTCGTGTGATGATCTCCACATCAGAAACTTCTCCAAATCTGCTGAACTGATTTTGTAGGTCTGTCTTAGAAATAGCTTGGCTAAGGCCACCCACAAAAAGGCGCTTTGTTTCTCTGTTGGCTTTCATGAAAACTGGTTATATACTTGACGTAGTCTAGTGAGAAGATAATTTTTTGTATAAGAAACAGTTCTTTCTCATGGTTCTTCTCAAATGTAACACCCTGAGCCCTCTATGCTAAATTGGTCTCCTGGTGTTATATTTTACTTCCTACTGTATTGCTTCCAATACTATGCCTGTAGACTACTGAAGCCCTATATTCACATTGTTTCTAAATGCACTATGGAACTACACCAGCACACACACATAAATATAGGTACAGACACATGTTTTCTAAGTGAACACAATTATTATACACTACCTGTTTTCATCTATTTGGTAGTGACAATTGAACCCAGGGCCTCTTGTGTGCTAACCAAGAAGTCTAGTACTAAGCTCTATCACAGCCCTTATTTTGAGCTGGGGTTTGTCTAGTGTCTCAGCCTTCCAACTAGCTGGGATTACAGGCATGTGCTACCAGGCCTGGCTATTTGTTTATTTGCTCACATATTTTTTTTCACTTAATGCTAAAGGAGAAAAACACCTCTCTAGGAACTCCACCGTCATATAAGTAGTAAACAAATGCTGCAATTACAATATCATGGGGCAATAAAACTGCAAAGTGCTGAATTAAAGATCAACCAAAAAAACCCACAAACTGCAAAGTGCTGTTCAGGCACAAAAAGGGCAACTGATACGATAGGTACTATAGATAATCCGGATCTAATTTCAGATCCTGGAATTGTTAGCAGTATATTAAGGTTGTTGGATTAGAAGGGACTCAGGAAAAGTTTTCCAGAGGTACTCAGGTCTGACACCCTTTAGATGTCTCATCTCCTTTAGCATCCTGCGGCCTTCAGTCCGCCCTTCCCCAATAGTTGACCGACTTTACAAGTGAAATCACAAAACAAGATCAGAAGCCCAATGCACTTCGCGTGGTGTGGATGAGAGCTAAAGTGTACTTTTTCCTGGTAGCTATAGTCTTCAACCTACGCACCCCTATCTTCCCAAAGAAAAGAAGGAGGCCAAGTCGAACAGCCTCATCCCCATGCCCGAAACCAGTGCTCACCACGCCGTCTCCGAGCCTGCGATGCTCAGGCCGATGTCTTCTGGTCACATGTTTCAGCAGGTGCCTTCTCTTTTCCTTCCTACTCCACTTGCAACCCAGCCTCTCAAGGTTCCGTTTCCATACTTAGTACCCAAAAGTTTATTTCGTTTCTCGTAAGTCTGCACCAACTTCCCCTCGACCTGTGCAAAAGAGCCCAAGCCAAATTTCCTAGTTTCTACCGAAGAAACCTGCCGTTACGTGTCCTTGGTCTCCTGCACCGGGTAGGCTGATGTGAGAAAGGGGAAGCAAAATAAAGAAGCGCTACCCACGACAGGATCGGGGTAGCTCCATGGCCGCTCGAGGGGGTGAGCGGCCGAGGGTTTTGGATTCAGACTGGAGCGAACCAACTCTTGAAAAGGTTGGAACTCTTCAGAGACAGACTTGGCAACCTGAGGAGCGACGTCAAAGCCCCGGAATATTATTTGAGTGTGGGGCGACTGCTGTGGGCCGCTGGGGTTACGCGTCGCTCTGTCGCCTCCCCCAAGGAGCTCAGTAATGGTCCGCGCCCTGAAGGCGCGCGAGGCTTGAAGCGCCGACCCGGGAACCGGGTGAGGGAGGTAGCTGAGGCGTCTCTGGCAGGGCTCGGATGGCAATGGATGCTGAGCGGGTCGAGATGCGCGCCTTGGAGGCGGAGATTGCAGTGCTGCAGCAGGCTTGCAAGCAGCTGCCTGCGCCCTGGGAAGACGGGGCCCGAGTCCGGTAGGTGGCCAGTGGGCGGTGGCCCATGGGAGTTGTCCCGGGACTAGGCGGTTGAATCTCCACAAAGCTCAGGACTGCAACTCCTTGCAGGCCTGGTGCTGAAAATTGTAGCCTGGGTCTCCCCCAAATGTGGACTTGAACCAGTACAGATTCTCTTCCTAACGGGGTCCCAGTTAAAAGCACTGCGTTTGGGGCTCTGTTGTGAGCGCGTTGCAGTTCAGTAAGTCGTCTGCCACGGGAAAGTCGTTTTCTTAACCGGTTTTCTTTCTCCAGTCGGTGACTGTCCAAGAAAAAGTTTTGCCTACCTCTCTTAACTAAATCTTGCCTTCTGCAGGGAGCTGTATCCAATTCGGATTCAATAAGTTGGTTTCATGGACTTTTTTTGTGTGGGCCACTTAACCATGGTAATTAACACTGATTTTTCGTTTATGATAATAACATAAACTTTTCTTTGAAAAATAACTTCCAAAAAGAGATAAGTTGATATGAAGAAAAATGGCTAATATAGCCTGTAGAATTTGACAGCCCTCTGAGGTAGGTGCTGGTGTTAACTGCATTCTAAATTTAAGAAACTTGCGAATCAGAAAAGTTAAGTAGTTTGTCCAAGGTAGAGAAAGGAGATGTAAAAGCTGAACTGGAACCCCAAAAAATGTAGTTCCCGAGTCCAGGCATTTCCCTTGATTGAAAAAGAGAGAAATAGAAATGTCTGTAACAGTTAATTATTTACCAAGTATGTATCATCTCAAACATGCAAGGCACTTGAAAACAAATCATCTTTTTTTTTTTTTTTTTTTTTAGTACTAGTGACCAATTTGAAGCCAGCAGTGGTGCAGGCCTGTCATCCCAGCCACTCTGTAGGCTGAAGCAGGAAGATCACAAATTCAAGCCCAGCCTGGGGAATCACCAAGACTTAATCTCAAAATAAAAAAATACAAAAAGGGATTGGGGTAGTACAGTACAGTTAGAAATAGGGAAATTGAAGGAACCACTCTCTTCCCTTCATTCAACTATAAACATAAACCCTAATGGCTAGTCATGTTTAAGTTTAGGAGATCAAGGTGGGGGAGGAGGCAGGTCATCGACACCAGAGACAGAATGGGAGGCACCTGGAGTCAGAAGCGGCTGACCCTTTAAATACTGGAAGCCTGAGTTATCAAGGGTTTCTGTTCCTCAGTTCCTTTTCCTCCTCCTTTTTCCCTTTGCCATTCTGCCCATTCCGCTGCTACTGTCCTGCAATCTTCAATAAACGTAGCTACTTACTACAGTTGTACTTGGCAATTCTTTCCTTGATGTACACAAGAACTTGGACTAGTTTTGCCCCATTCAGCTATAACAGGGGTGTAACTCAGTGTGAAGATCCTGGGGTCAATCCCCAGTAATAGCATAAAAAAATAAATAAAATTTTAAAAGGGCTGGGGATATAGCTCAGTGGCGTAGTGCTTGTGCCACACACTGGTTCAATTCAATCGCCAGTACCATGAAACAAGAAAAAGACTAATTTTCTATAGGTGCAAGAGAGAATGGGATTTTCCTCAGCTAAATGCCCAAGAGTAGTAAAAAATGTGAAGCATGAGGAGGTCTAAAGAAAAATTCTTGCATGATGTTCTTTAAGCTCATGAAAGTACAGAAAGCTGTAATTGTTAAAGGGAGAGGGAAATAGGGAAATCTAATTGTTCAAAGGGGAACAGGTTAACAAGGCATGTGTATGCACCTCCACAAGTGAATAAATTTATTAATGACCCTTGCTACTAAGGGTATGACACACCAGCTGTAAGCATTAGAATCACGTAGGGTTTTGTGAGAAGTATAAACTAAAGCTTCATATCAAGAGTTGGTGAATGAAAACCTGCATTTTAACAAGACATTCTTTCCCTACTGTATCATTCTACGGGGAAAAATGGTTTCTTTTACTGACCATAAGATGTCATTATTAGCCCAGATACTATAGTATATTATTTGCATAGTCTGGGACTCCTCAATGACCAGGATGGGAAAGTAAGGAAAATCCAGATAATGGGAGTTGTTAAATATCAGTCAAAGTTGTTTAGGTTTATTTAGGTTTAATGTGAAGTTATTTCTCCCTGTTATGAAAAAGGAAGATTGGGACTTATGTATCAAGCTTCTTTTCAAGTGATTTTAAATAGTTGGATAGATAGGAGGTAGGAAAATTGGAGCTAAAGGATTGAGCTATGTTTATGTGCACACATTCTGGAGCCAAATTGCCTGCCTTCAAATGTTGGGTGTTATTGGCTGAGTAATCTTGATTGGGTGATCTCTTATACTTTGATTTTTTATTTGGTAAAATCTAAGTTTTCAGACTGTTCTAAGGATGAGTTCATATATATAATTCATTTAGAACAGTACTTTTTCTTAATAAATACTAATTAACAATCATTGACTTTTAAACTCAAATCTTGTGTAGATTCATTTTAAAAGAAATATCTTTTTTTATAAAATTTTATTTTATCCCATTCCCCCCTCAAGCCCCTCCCCCCATGTATAAAAGTTTTGTTTCCATTTTTTTTCCTTCTATTTTCACTTTTTTCTTGTCCCTTCCTTTCTCCCTCCCTCCTTCCAAAGGGGAAAATAATTCTTTTGAACCTCTTAATTATGACAGAAATTTTTAAGCTGCACAGACAGATTTGCAAATAAAACTCCAAAACCAATAAAATTCAAGCTAGCTGCAAATAGTTTAAACATTAGTTGAAATAGAACAATTGGCGAAGCCCGACTGACCTCCAATGCTGCTTGACAAAGTTCCAGCGGGGGGGGAAAGGAGAGTGGAACACATCGTACCCTCATGTTTTATTTTTTCTAGCCATAATGTTTACAATTGTTACTTTAGTCACAGGAATCATTATGTTTGTGACTAACAACATATTCTCCATGAGGCAAATTGGCAATGTTGTATTGAAATCTGATCTGGCTCACAAGTCCCAAATTCCTGTTTCTCTTAGTTCTATTGCCACACCCACTTCTAAAGAAACCTCTCTTAAAACTCCCTCTGTTTTCCTGCTACTATAACTCCTTTCTTCTATTGATGACTGTCTTTCTACTAAAGGGGTCTTATAAAGAGACTGAAAGGACAGATTTTAGATGTAAGAAACAGTGGGAAATGAGAAATAGAAAGAAAGTTAAGACAGATAAATACACTAAGGAGGCAAGTTACTCAGTTTTTCTCAAAGTACTGTAAACATCTCCTGCTCATGAACCATGAACCCAAATAACACTTAAGCAAGATGAATAGAGGTATAGAAAAATAGAGAGCTAATAGCAAACTATATTAACCATTGTGCAGTTTCTCAAGGGCCAGCTGACAACCACAAGTTTGATATTTAATTAACTAAATCTTGCTTGTACCCCCGCTGATATAGAGATTTTGATTAAGTTACTTTCTGTTCTGTTTAGGTGTGGGTAAATAAGGGGACAATTGTAATTTTTAAATATGTATTCGTGACGTTCAATGAAATGAAATAGCTTAGAGGAATTGTACTTTGTTTAGCAAAAAATAACCTTTACTTCCATAGAAATTGCTAAGGCAATCTAAAATGTAAACATGTTCCGTCCAATGCCTCCTAGCTATTGCTTAAAGATATAAAAATAAATCAGACCCTGAGACTTATCAGAGGGAACCTGAACATTGCTTGCAACGGTTCTTTTCTCACTCGCCGGCCCGAGACCTCTCCCCTTCCTACCCTGCATCGACTGCAGCTGGTCTGCGGCAAACAATGATATTTTACTCAAATAAGTAATTTCTATAAGAATATTCTGCTTCTGCCTTGTACATGTGGTAAGTTATATATATATCATCAAATTTACAATTTTAACCTTTTTTTTTTGGTACCAGGGATTGAACTTGGAACCTTGCACTTTTGAGGCAGGCATCAGCACCACTGAGCTCAATCCCTGGCCCTATTTTAACCATTTTTAAGTGTATAGTTTAGCAATATTCACATTATTATGTAGCATTACCATTATCCATCTCCAGAAATTTTTCATTACTCTGGTCTGAAACACTATATCCATTATTAAACAGTAACAACCTCCTTCTCTGCTGCTGACTCTGAATTATTTGAATTTTCCCATATCCTTTGGTTCTTTTACTACTTTGCTCCGTTGAAATACCTGAAATCTTCACTCATAGCTTGCTGTGACATTTTTTGTTCACTGGGCAGGAGTCATTTATGTTTGACAATTGCCATATTTTTTTTTTTAAATTGGCTTTCTATGTTTAGGTAGTATATATATATTTTTTGGTACTGGGGATTGAACTCGGAACCACTGAGCTAAATTCCTGGCCCTGGCTTTCTATATTTAAAGTAATTTTTTTTAGCATCCATGATGAAAAATGCAAGAGAGGGTGTGGTAGACTTTCAGATGATACAGAATATAATTATGCTAATATTTAAAATTAACATTAAAACAAAACGGAAATGAATGTTACAGACTTTGTTGCCAATCTTGTATCCTCAGTGTAAATATGGTATTAGATCATTTCCTATGGATATTATATATCCATAAGGGTGTTGTCTAATGTAGTAGAATTACAAATAGGTTTTTTGAGGGAGCAGAAAGGATGATAGTAATTTCAGATACCAGGTCGGTGAAAGAAAATATTTTGTGGAATATCCTAACTTGCAGGAAGAAAAGATACGTAGTAGGTATATTTTAGGGGTTACTAGCATATTTTTAAAATTCATTTAATTGGTACAGTTTAGATATACATAATGATCACATCATTGTAGGCAATTTGTATCTATACATGGTTTATCTTTTTTTTTTTTTATATCAGAGCTCAAACTCAGGACTTGGTGTCTGCCAGGCAGGTGCTGTGCCACTGAGCTAAATCCCCAGCCCTTAAATGGTATATCTTGATTCCTCTTTTTAAAAAGAGCTGAGGCTAAACAAAAGAATACATATTTAGGGTAGCAGAGGCAAGAGCATTAAGGATTTCCTCTAACAGTGATAACAAGAAGAGATATTGGAGGACCTAAGATATAACATGACAATCAGGATAGTCATGCCCCAGAATCCAAGGAAGGAATGTTTTAAGATGACAGAAATATAGCAGAGAATTTGGAGGAAATAATGAATGACAAAAAGTACAGTAATCTGATGATGCAATTATTAGCTAAAGTTCTTTTTTCCAAGGACAATAAAGTTACTTTGTCTCATTGAAGAAGGTCTGGGTATAACATTGTTTAAAGAGATTTTGCTGTTTCTTACTCCTTTGAATCTTTACCCCTTGTATTCTTAGATTTCTTGAGATACTTCTTATATCTTTTTTTTTGTACCAGGGATCGAACTCGGGTCCTTGAGCTTGTGCAGCAGGCGGCGAAACCACTGAGCTAAATCCCCGGCCCGAGATACGTCTTATATAAAATATTTTGTGATACTTACTTTTTTTTAGAAATTAAAGATAATTTCATTTTTAATTTTTAAGACAGGTTAAAATTATTTGAGATGTCTTGGGAAATCAGATATTCACGTTGGGAATTCTTGGATGAGAACTGACATTTCAATTTTGCAAAGTATTCCTATTTTAATTTGTTTTAAAGTTTCTAATGTGTACAAATATAGTAACATAATTTGGTTATGTTTGTTTGGGGTTTTTTTCTTGTTTTTTGGTACCGGGGATCGAACTCTGGTCCTTGCGCTTGCGGGGCAGGAAACGGAACCACTGAGCTAAATCCCCACCCCGGTTATGTTTGTTTTTTTGTTGAAATTAGAGATTACAGTGTTAATGGCCACATTGGTTTTGAAAAAATTATTATGTAGGTTTTTTTTTTTTTTGGTACCGGGGATCGAACTGGGGTCCTTGCACTTGCGCAGCAGGCAGCAAAACCACTGAGCTAAATCCCTGGCCCTATTATGTAGTTTAACTTTTTTTTTTTGGTACCGGGGATTGAACTCGGGTCCTTGAGCTTGCGCAGCAGGTGGCAAAACCACTGAGCTAAATCCCCAGCCCCCTATTATGTAGTTTAAATGGGAAGAGATTAAGCAGATCAAAAATGGGAATGGTTTGTGGAAACTGGGGTGTTAAGTGAAATATTTGTTGTAATTGGAATAACTTTCTTGTATTCACTTGTTTAGAAAATCATTTCAAGAGATACACCAATCAGATTCTGCAGGATGGGAATCTTCAAAAGACCCGAAAACTCATCTTAGACATTTAGAAGTAGAATTTTCATTTCTAAGTATGCTTACTGGCTTCAATATAACAGATTACTCCAAGAAGACAGAAGATCTAACAAGCACTGAGAT